GAGATTAACTCTCAGTTCCCGCATCAAAATCTTCTAGGCAGCAAAATCAATCGTGATCGAATTCCCGGATAAGGTTTACCCCATGAGAGCTTTGAAAAGTAATATTCACTGGTTCAAATACAATTCCCAACCTTCTCTCTCAAGTTTCTCTCCTTTAACCATATTCTCTTCTCTCATATCCTCCTGGTACTGACTCATCCTGACCAAACAAACAAAACCCGGAATATCGCATTTATAAATTAGGACCCTAGTTCTTGTTCGATCTGACTCCATGTGACCAAAGAAAAAGAGGTGAAGAAGAACCTTGAGACGAGATCAGGATCAGAGATTCCCAGCATCCGGACAGCAAGCAAGGCTGCGTTGGTCGCATTGTTTATTGCAACTGTCGCAACGGGAACACCCCTAGGCATCTTTAACAACAACAACAACGAAAAAACGTATATGCAAAGGTTTAGACCGATTCGAATTAGGCAAACAATGAATAGCTGAAGTTAACGACTGTAAATAATGAGAATACGAGTGTGGACCTGAACGATGGAGAGAAGTGAATCAACTCCATCCAACCGGGTTGCACGTACAGGGACACCAATCACGGGCAAAGGAGTGAGTGAAGCAACCATACCTAATATCAAAGAAAGGCATACCAGTTTCAGAAAATCCAATACTTTTCTGATACAATCTAAGTGGGAGCGGATGTTTAAGATATACCTGGTAAGTGAGCAGCGCCACCAGCACCTGCGATTATGACTTGAACGCCTCGAGTATGTGCTGAGGCTGCATATGAAAACATCATCTGCGGGGTGCGATGAGCTGATACTATCCTTACCTGTAAACGAAGGATTTCACTAACAATTTATCTATCTGACACAAAATTGGGCAAAACAAATAGTAGATACTGTACTCTCAATGAGACATGACATAGGGGACTATATTTGAGCTTCTCCACAATTAGTTTTACCGAATTACATATTAACTACCATATCCTAGTATGTACCTCATGCGCCACACCAAACATGTCCAGAATATTGGCAGCATCTTTCATAACAGGAAGATCCGAGTCTGAACCCATGATGATACCAACACGAGGTGTCTCTGCAATGTGTAAACAACACACAACGAAAATTCAGTCAGATACATTGAAAATTCATGAAGGTGTCAGTGATCAAGATAATGTAGGTGCATAATTTCACAAACTAGCTTTACAAGGCGAGATAGGTTCAAAAGCAATTGAAACTAAACGCCTGTGGACTGTAGATACCAAATTACAATACGGAAACTGACCATTTACTTTATGGCTTTGGTCACTAGTTATACAATGCAACCTTTGTTCCAAAACACCCATAGACCGCCCAACAAGAGTGATGTGGCCCATCTTCCGCTGCTTTCTCATTTCTGACAAAAATAGTTTATCATACAAGCTCTGTGAGTAATTATAAAGTTCACAAAAACTAACAACATACCAAGAGAAAATAAGAGTACAAAACTCTAACCTGGCTTGTCATACCAATGAACAGATACACCTGGAACACACATAGCCCTTGCAATAAGCCGATGCGCCAATTTAAAACCAGCTTCGCCCTGAAATTTGAAAATTGAAACCAAAACGCCACTGCATGTATCATTAAACTGATAAGAAGAGAATGCAGAAGGTACTATTAACAAGACATTTCAAACAATAAAGTAAAGCAAAAACATTCATTACATCATCTTCACCCAGAATATTGTACATAATGGAGGCTGGAGTTCTCATTGACGAATCACCAAGCGGAAGACCAACCACAGCCCTCAAGTGTTGTTCAAACTGTGAAGTATAACATGACTCGATCGTTTGATGGCCACTGTTGTGTGGTCTTGGCGCAACTTCGTTTAGCAGAATCTGGGAGGGACTAAAACTCTGATAAGTTAAAATCAAAGAAAACAGGTAGAGCGCCGAAAACGTATGAGAATACCTGACCATCTTCTGTCAAGAACAGCTCGACCGCAAAAACCCCAGCGCCTTCTAAAGAACCAACAGCCTTTTGGGCAACATCAGTCGCTAGTTTGTTGATCTTCCAAGGCACATCTGCAGGTGCTTTAACTATATGGCATATATTATCCCTAGAACGCATTTCAAACTGTATTAGTAGAGAAGTAAAAACTTTTACCATACATATTAGTAGAGTTTTTGTGTTACCTGTGAATGGTTTCAACAACGGGATAACAAACCATGGAACCATCTCTTCCCCTAGCCACTATAACAGCTAGCTCCTGAAATTTTATATGTAAATGATTATAAATATCAGAGCCAAATAAGTTACTACAGCAAAAGAATTTTTATCATTTACCTTGACAAAGGGTGCCCATTTCTCGACGTACAAACCACGATTGGTACCTCCAAGAGCTGGAAAAAAAAATTGAATAAATAGCAGGAAAACAAAGGTTACATTCTGATCGTGAGATTGTACCAGACTAAACTGGTTGTGAACTGCTACTACTGTGAAACTACTTTAAACATCGTTAGTTAAAGGAATACCAATTACAGCAGAAGAAAGCCCATCTTGGCTTTTTGCAACTGCATTTCCGCGTCCATCATAAGCCAATCGCTTGCTTTTGATCATAAGAGGGTAACCGAAAAGTTCACCTGCTCTTTTCGCATCGTCAAAATCGTTTATCTGTCATGGCAAGGCTTAGGGGTTAAAATGTTTATCAAACTCCTCATGATTCCTGGAGAATTCAGTGAGTGATTCTTTCAACACAGCATTAAACAAAAGCCTAACCTCCATAAACTCTGGAAGTGGGATGCCATGCTGAGAGAAATGAACTTTTTGCATGTATTTATCCTGAAACATCAAACTCTCTCATATGATCCACATTGCTTGATAAACTTTAGTTATACATAACAAAGATATTTCATTTCCTCAATAAGAAAATACACTCAATTTGATGGAAAAAATAGAGAGGTTAAGAAACCTGTATAATCCGGATAGTAGAAGCTTTTGGTTGGCAATCGACTCCTTCTTTCTCAAGCTTTTCTAATGTTTCCACATCAACATGTTCGATTTCCACGGTCAAGACATCGCATCTAACTACGACAATAAACAAAAACAACTGTCAATGTTATCACTTAGACAATAGGAATTGAGAGCCTAGAGCATTTCAGTAACAAAACAAAAGAAGAGACCTTTTTGCAAATTCTTCTACTGTAGAACTGTCGTCGAAGCTATCGACCATGTGACTGTAAGCCAATGCACTTGCTGAACAATTCTCTGAAGGATCTAAAATCTTCACCTTGATAGCCATTTGAGAAGCAGCTTGGCAAAGCATACGACCCAATTGTCCACCCCCCAACACTCCCACAATTATCTCAGAAACTCCATGGACATGTTTATCCTCACTTTCAAAGAGAAGAAAATTACCATTAGAGAATAGTTCCTTCCCCCAATCTTACTGATTTCAAATCTTTGTGTCTAGTAACAGAGAAGCGACAAGCACAGCTGCTTCATTGCAATAGGTGTGATCCATTCTTAATCAAAATAGCTGTTAAATTTCTCAAATCCATGACACTTACAAGAAAAGATAAAACTTTTTTCATTTCCACAGATTAATATATGCCACCTTAACTGATCTGTGGTTCAAATAAAACAACTTTCTTAGCGAGACAAATTCATGAGTAGCTCGTAGCCAAGAAAATAGACTTGAGAAGAATGTTATGATGTGACACCATTATACTCAAAAACACATAAGATTGCAACCTAATTATACGTATATCTGAACAAAAAGACGCATTATACCCGAATTCAAAATTAAAGGGGGCATAGGTACCTGATAGGAGAAGTCTCATGAGAGCTACACGGCACTGATAAAGCGCTGCAGGCTAAAACCGGATTGAATTTGCCAGATGAAGAAGTAAGAGGCTTGTGCAAATTTGACATGGTGAAACTCTGGGACGAGTAAGTGAAGCGAGAATTGTGGAGTACTGGACTTGTATTCCCAGCGACAAGAAGAGCAGCTGAGCTCTGTTTCAGAAGCAACATCTAGAATACAGCAATATTAGCATCCAAAACAAGAGAAACTTTGGAACAATAACATAGTGAATTTGTAATCAATCCGTTGATAAATAAGCAAATAAGTAAAGAGAAGACCAAAATAGAGAAGGAGCTCAAACAAAACCTAAGTGACAGTGTCAATAGCCTAAACCAATGAAAAACATAACAAGCTAATGTGAATGGATTAAAGTAACATGTCTAGATTCCACTAGTCAATAGCTAAAACTAATACAGCCACAGAATATGGAAGTCGAAACCGATTTGCGCCACTATAAGAATGGCGAGAAGAAGACTAACCTGGTTTCGAATTGTGATTAGAGAAGTGAGCTCCAAAGGTTAGATTTTTGTAAAAGGGACTCCGATGATAACACTGGGTTTGAAGAAGAAAAAACCAAAACTTAAACAAAACCCATGAACTCACTCAACCAGAGGATAGAGAAGATTGAGAATCAGTTCTAAAGCAATGCGAATTTGAGACGGAACAGAGTAAGCGACGGCGATGAGAGAGAGAGAGAAGGGTTTTTGTGAATGAGTGGGTTTTTCAGGGAATTGTAATCCGCTCGGTTTAATTACTCGGTTCGCAAGATTTACCGGTTTAATTAATTATTGGTAAACCGAACCGGATATGACGTGGTTTTTTGGGCTCGAGCCCATTTCATTGTGTTATTCAGAGATTTTGATTTCGTCGGAAAAACCAGAGGCGATCGGATTTGATCAGAAGACAAAAATGCCGGTGAGAGTCGTGGAGAGCAACACGCCTGCTCAAGTGTCAGGTTTTTCGATTCGCCCTTAATTATCCGGTTTCTAGAAATTAGGGTTTCAACTTTGTGTCTATTCCTCGTCAGATTTTCTTCTCATTTCATTTGGATTGTTGCCTTTTAGGAGCTGATCTTGGGAATCGATCACCACTTCCGCCTAGTTCACTTCTTGGCGCCGGCCAGGTAAAACGATTCAACTTCATATCTTTTTTTGTGCAATTTTCCATTTTGTAAATCAACGAAATCTGTTCTTGCGTAGAAAAAAATAGAAACTTTCTTTCTGGGTTTGTAATGGGTTAGTAGGTCGGAATCACAAGAGTATCCAGTTTTTGTTCTTCCTTTAACAAATTGATTGGATTCATAAATGTATGTCTGCTTAAGCTACTGGCCATATATGTCATTTGTATTTGATCTATTTATCAACACAGGGTATGTGTAAGGTAGGATCTGAGTATAGTAGAATCAGTTGGTAGTTCTGAATAATTGAATTCGCGAATGTAGTCAGATCAAAATGTGGTACTAATAGAAACTTTGCTTCCTAAGGGTTTGCTAAGATACTTGATGTAAATTTCGTGGGAACGATGCCATTGCCAGACATGAGGGAAAGTACTAATTTCCTTTATGTTTTGGCTATTGAGGAAAGCCAAAAGCATAAAGATCTCGTGTCAGGCACCAAACTTCATGGGCCAAAAGACTCTCTTGTTAGCTTTGTATGTATTAACTGACGTGATATCTTTTTCATGTTGGCCTGTATGCTAAGTTCAAGTGAGCTTATATTAAGTAGAAATTGTAGACGATTCATTGGCTCCATGAGATTGTTTATTAATAGTGAACGTAAAGATGAGGGCTTTTGAGTTGTAGCATAACTTGCATGTTTATATGCTGCAGGCATTTTCTGGTACGCAAAATGTCTCTAATCAACAGAAGGAGGAAGCTTGGAGAGTTAACGTCCAGATACAGGGAATTGATCTTGAACATGGCTATCTTTGTGGCACTATGGAAGCTCTAAACGTTCCCATGGCAGATACTCCTGTAAGCCCTTACACACTCTTACTCATGTGTAATCTGCGTGTTGCTTCCTCTTGGAATACAATTACGGGAAACGATACTTGAATGTTTGTTATGAGTGTCAGGTCATAACATTCTGGGAAGGGGAAATTGTTGATGGAAAGAATTATACTTTTTATACCGGCAAATGGGAAGCCACGTATGCCCCAACCCCTTTCTCTTTTAAGATTCGAAACTGATGACTTCTGATTGTGAATGAAGTTTGAAGTTTTTTTTTTTGTCACAGGAGGGAAGATGACATGAGACATTGGTCAAAGTTCCCGTCTTTTTCGCCTCTTCAGGTAATACTCGAGTAACATGCTTGCAGAGACGGTAACATCTCCTGACGCAATGTTTCTGGACTAATCCTGCAGGGACAAGTTGAATCTGATGGTGGCAGGCAATTGGATCTTAGCAATTACCCTTATATATTTATGGTAAAGAAACACTCGTTTTCCTATCGATTCTGATCATCCATATCTCTTTAGGTACATATAATAATTCCTGCAACCTCGGTTTATTTCTGGTGATGCAGAGATGGAAAGAGCAATACTTTGTAAATGTTGGTACAGATTGTGGATTAACAATAGCTGGATTTTACTACGTATGCTTCTCTTGCAGCGACGGATCCATCAGCGGTTTCTATTATGATCCAAACAGCAGGTTAGTACTAAGATCTTACCTCATGACACAAACTATACTCTGTTTTTCTTGTTCGTGTATAGAAAATGTTGATAATCTTTTCTTTTTTGTTGGCCAGTCCGTTTCAGAAGCTGGAGCTGAAAACAGTTAACGAAGGAAGATCTGGTTTCAGCTTTTCTTCTTACGAGTTGCAATGATGGAAGCTAGAATCATCAGACAAACGCCAAATGACGTCTCTCGTGGGCACATGCGAGGCACGTGATCCAGTACATTATGACGTGTTAATAATTAAATTATTACTAGTGGGATATTTTTGTGTAGGGTTTAGTACCATTAAAAAACTAAAATACTCTTTGTCATTATGGTACGAGCTAACATTTTAAGACATACCACTTTTTATGAAAAAATTGTCCGAAAACAAAAATGAAAGTTTAGTAAGATTTTCTAAAAA